AGCCTCAACCTGATCCAAACCCTCGATATCAGTCTCCTCCACCCAATCCACCCCAGCAGTATCCTAATACTCAACCTTACCCATCCAATCCACCCCAACAGTATCCTAATAATCAGCCTTACCCATCCAATCCACCCCAACAGTATCCTAATAATCAACCTTACCCATCCAATCCACCCCAACAGTATCCTAATCATCAACCTTACCAACCCAGTCCACCCCAGCAGTATCCTAATAATCAACCTTACCCTCCCAATCTACCCCAGCAGTATCCTAATAATCAACCTTACCCATCCAATCCACCCCAGCAGTATCCTAATAATCAGCCTTACCCATCCGATCCACCCCAACAGTATCCTAATAATCAATCTTATCCACCCAATCTTCCCCACCAGTATCCTAATAATCAACCTTACCCACCCAATCCATCCCACCAATATCCTCATATCCAACCTTACTCGCCCGATCAAAATCCTTCTGTTCCATCTCATGTAATCAACCCGAACTGTCCTCAATCCCCAACTCAATCCTATTTCCAAAACCCTCCCATACTAACTCAAAATATCAATCCATCCCAACCAACACCACACAACAAACCCGACCCAAATCCACCAAATCAACCACATCGTCCCGCGAATAGTCGGTACAGGCCACGTAACCAGAATTTTCCACGACCACAGCAGCAAAATCAGCAACAACAAGCATCACTGTCTCATCCAAGAACTAATGCTCCATCACCTCAACAAATCGGTCGAAACATCAACAGTTTCAAACAACATCAACAGGTTTACTCTTTTTGCCTTCTAAATTTTAACTCTTCTCATCAGTTACAATCATCGAATTATGATCTCTCGTTATGTTCCGAACATTTCTATCTAATCGAATCGAAAGCGTGCAATCACTGTATTCAGCTATTCATTTTCAATTATTCGAATGACACCAAGTGAACAAGTTCGAATATGAAAATTCATAAGCACAATCAATCGATGTGAGCGATTATACAAAACGTGAAACATATTTTCTCCCATTCATTTGCGAGATGAAAAGCAATTCACTCACCGCTTAAAAACAACAGTATTGCACGTTATCGGTGACTTTCAAAGAGAACAATCAGAAAAAAAGTTCACTGACCGAGGCTTGACTGTAACTAAANGCACGGAATAAATTAGTGCATATTTTTTAAGGAAGATCGTTCGGGTCATATTGAGAGGGTATCGGAAAGAGCCGAAAATAAGCCAAAATTCAAAAAATATTCAAATGGACCAAAACCGGATTTCAAGAAGCATCCGAATAGACCAAAGCAAGAACAAGCTGACAAGGTGCGGAAAACTGAAAGAGAAACGAAAAATGCCGAAGCTGCACCAAAAGCTGGTGTTGTGAATGCTGAAGAAGCAAAGTCGGATGGTAAAAAGAGAGAGGTGCACGTCGTACTCTCGTTGAACGTCTGAAGCAACGTAAACGGAAAATGTATCTGCAGTTGTCCGCTTCATTCGAAGCCAAAATTTCGCTCATTGTCAGCAATAATATTTCATTATTTTGTTACGAATTTATTAGAATGCTATAAAAATCTGAATAACTTTTGAACGATTCAATCATTCTTTTATATTTCAGATTCACATGTAATTTCATGGAATTGGCAAATTCTTGTAAGTATTCAATAAAGTGTAACCTTCAAAGATGTCTTGCTTTTTATACGCAACTCTCGGTTTTATCCGAAATGTTCCATTTTGAGACCGCTCAAGTCTTTTGATAATAAACCTTTTTGAAAACAAAACAGTTCACAGAATAGAGAGTTTCATTTATTTAAAAAAAACGACTGTAATTACTGCAATCATTCCGCAGTGGATCATCCCTAAAAGGGAACCTTCTCGACATACCATTGGAATAAATAAAGTACCCAACCGCAAGCTGATCTATGATTGTGCCTACTGTTCGCTGGCTTCACCATACTCTCAGCATCGTTTGTGCGATGACACTCAGTTAGGAGTGCCGATGACTAGAACATGTAGCGGTAATTTTCGCTAGAACGCTACCCATCAAAATTATTCTGTTTAGGTGAAGGGGAAAGGAGTGTAGCCTATAAGACACAGAACATGCGGCACACATGAAGACATTATGTTACAGTACTCTCCGCATATTAACAATTGATTTCTCGAACGAGTAATTATTAGGATTGTTCTTACTAACTCTAATCAACTTCGTTTGTTCTGGAGCTAGCGGTAAAAGCCCGTGTGACGTTTGTTAGTTCATGAAATTAAACGTAGTTTGTAAATTACTGGATGTTATGAATGCTTTGATTATGTTTTGATGATTGCTATTAAATAAAATTCTTTGTGTTCAGATTGGTAAACGAAGACTGATGACAGCACAATAACAGTAAATGTACAACAGCTAATGGAAAAAGAACAATTGAAAATATTTTATTCAAATTAAGGTAAATGTAGTTGGTATGTAATTTTTTATTGTTTGACGTGAAAGCACGTCAAACACTATGAAAACAGATGAATTCTGTGGAGTGATAAAAGCGGAATGGATTCCTGATTTCCTTCAGATATATATCTTGCCTGCAATGAAAGGTTGTTGGGTAGGAGAAGGAATCGACAGTCAAACAGATTGCTGAAGGGGAGGTGGCAGTCTGCGATATGGCCAATGCAAGATGCGAGAGTGTGACAATTTTATTGAATTTTGATCTAGCATATAGATGCTATTGAATTTTAGGCACTTTTCTAACATTAAAAGATGCAAGCAAACATTCTCTCGACGTGTTACTCGATTTTTGAAAAAAAAAACCAACTGATAAATAAAACAATGAGGAGGAACACTGAATTAATTGCTATTCTGAAATGTTCGAACGCTTATCGCCAAGTGAAGGTAAAATATTTTGGACTGGATTTTTCTACGAAGTGGTTTTCCACCAACTCACCCAGAATCGATCAGGCATTTCACAAGTCGAAGAAAAAAATTTTTTTGGTCGCTTTCGCTCACTCTAGTATACATGTTTGAGATGAATGATTACACTCTCCAAAAACATTGTCATTTCATATTAACGGCTCTAGGAAGGCAACATTGAATTGAACTTTGATGAGAATGTTCGAAAAAGATTGTTCCTGAAATGAATTTTGCAATGGTACGCGATTATGATTATGAGATGTACTCTGAGTTGACCGTGTTCAACAGAACCATAACTCTCCCTGCACAATCCAGCAATCTTAATTGTAATAATTTTTAGCAGATATGGGAATGACCGTGTAGATGACCCTTGAAACGATTCGATGTAAGTTTTTTTGAAGAACGCAGATGCCGTAGATCACTTGAACTAAGAGAATTCAAAAAGGGCTCTACATTCTGTTTGTCTTTCGGATTTGAGTGAAAAGGAATTTAAGGTTTTTGGTTTTTGCTTCTATATCCCCAGTCTTTGTGAGCACGATTTTCTTGTGTGAAAGTTTTCCTCCACATCTTATCGATGCTGAACTATGAAAACACCGAATCGAAACTTCAAACACGGCATAAGTGGGTGTACAAGAACAAGTTATGCTGAGATCTGTTGACAAATGTTTTCACTGCAACAAAGTCCATTTGAATGGATAACGAAATAGAATTTTATACTGATTGATAAACGCATTTTTTGAACGAAAACTGATCTGTCGATTGCATTCATTTGAGAAGAGATTTATGAAAACGATTAGTGCCAGGGTAAAACGAACTAATTTCACTGAAATAAAACGTTCCATAAGAATGGGCAATAGGACTGCTGCATTCGAGGTTGGACGATCCAAATTGAACGAAAAAGAGATAACTGCACAAACGAAACAAGGAACTCAAAGCAAAACACAACCTATTTCCAGAACATCACAGTACGATACAGCTACAACCGTGACAATGACTAAACATACCATAAAATACACATGAAACAGATTGAGATAAACTAGCTGAATCGATGAGCTGATCGTGTTCGTGTACAAGAACAATATTTAGAGTGAGACAGCTTGGTGCTAGGTGACAAAGTAATGCTGAGATAACAACTTAAGGTTTACACAGGATCCCGATTGTTGAATCCCGATCCAGCGATTGAAGAATCGACAAGATTTCGCAAGCCCTCATAACAACCGTCTTTGCGGATCTCTTGATAATTAAAGAACTGGACGAACCATGGTTTATTCGAGTTCTTGGTTAAAAAAACCGACTGTATGTTCCTGTTTTTGAAACGGTGGAAGAAATGTACACATTAAGTAAGAAGGAAACGACAAGTGGGTACTGCTAAGAGACCCAAAAATGAAACTGACAATAAGCAAACATTAGAATTTGAATTTACACAGAACAAAATCTTANTTAGATAACATAACATATGAACCTGAGCATTAAAAGCTGCACAATTTATGACAAAAGTCAGATGAGTTGAGCCTACGTAACGAACATTTTTAGGAGAACACTCGAAAATATTATAGTTGAATTGGTCTTCAAAAGAAAAATATTCTTATTAGATATAATTATTTGGTTCAACAATGATATGGAAGATAATTCCGAATATTTTCTACTGCAATGACCGATAATTCCTTCTGAAATTTTGCCTATTAAAGAATCAAGCCATCGAACAATTAATTAATCGTCAATCGATTCAACGGTCGAGAGAGTTTCATCAATCCATTGAAATGTTCTCCTAAACAGTTGATAAGATATTCTAGAATGGAAGCTGCTAGCCAATAATAAGTGAAGCGAAAGCGTGACCTTAGATCCTAAACTAGAAGTTTATTGTAGTTGGTTATTCCGGAATTTTGGAGCTTCGATTCGAAAGTACAACAACTTCACAGAAGCTTCAACAAAGTACAACTTCACAGTTATTCAGTTTTGCCCACATCATGAAGATCAGGCGAACGATAGTATGCTTGAAAATTGTTTACCACCCGAAGTTTTTATTGTATTCACAAATGGTGACAAGATTATATTCTGATGTGGGCAATAACCGTTGTATAAAACGGAGCAAGGTATATACGGATATACTGAAATTCAATTTGTATCAACATTCCATTGCTTTTTTGACTTGAATGCCAACATCGAATAATGAGACCGTTTGTAAGCGAACATACTTCAAAGGAAGCGATGTCTTTGGTATAATATATCATATATGTTCATACAAGAAATACGTGCATCAATCAATCAACCAATTTTTGTCGAGATCGCAAAAAAGTATATATCGAGAAATCACAACTATCACAACGATATACCGCTGTCAGTCACCGTATCACAATAAGTACCATCACCAGGATCACATGGTCTCATCCTGCAATGATATGTGCCACTTTTAGTTACAACCAACTCATAGACTGAAGTTTCACTCACAAAAGAAAATTCTTTACTAACACTTATTCATTTTTCCTGCTTACTAACATTACGAGTCAACTGGAAGTTAACAAGCTTAAGTCAGATCGTAAACTGACGAAACAGTTACGCGTATGCTTTCGCTTACAATTAAAAGTGATACGTTATGAAACGCATTTTAGCAGCTTTGATGAATTNATTCACTAAAACTTCCCATTAGAACCGTGTTGAATGAATTAAACTTAACAAATCAACATAACTGAACAAATAAATGAGTGCATAAATTCACCGTCGTGCTGAGCCTTCATCGTCTGCATCGTGATCATCGTTCGTGTCATTGAATAATAGCCTACGCGGAGCTCCTTTTCCTCGCGCTGAAATTTTTTGAAAATGACTTCATCTGAATTGATAATCAAATTTCTGAAAATCAATCTATCCGAGCCAATCAAAAATAAATCGATTCAACCCGTATTCATCACATCAGAGTTGAAATGATCAAGAGGGAAGCATACCAATGAAGGTGCCCTCAGGTGCATAAATGGTATCCGCATTCGAACCACTCAATCGATTTCGTCCTTGCTCCAGATAAACTGATATTATCGAACGCGTCAAAGCATTATCGTCTCCTGATTGTCGCATACGATAATCTAAAAAACTACGACATGATCGCTATCAACACTCTCTGTTATCGATACAGTGATAATGATTACTGTGCAGTACTAGCACTACTGCTATAGGTGACAGGATATTGTCACCTTGATGTGATCTGGTAAGCCTCGATGGTAGTGTAGATGATGACGGTCGAATATCGCTTTGTGCTGGTCGAGAACGGTAAGTGACCGATTGGTGATGAGTGCTTCTAAACAATTTGAATTTTATCACTGACTGATTGGTGAAACTCATGTGAGTTCATATGAGCGATAAATCGCTTAAGAATTCATCATTATTGATTTGATTGTCGAAATGTTTCTTGACAAATCGACTGAAAATCATAGTTGGCAATAAATGTCACCAGTGTAAAAGTAAAGACATGGAACAAGCAAACTAAAAAAGGTATAATTTGATTAAATAATGAGAGGAAGTTACACAGGAGTTGTTATTGAGACATCAACTTGTTGCTTAGGCAGATTGTGTTCACTTTCTGAGGTAGATGACTCCATTTCTTCGATTTTATATCGCAACAAATCGTTCTCCTTCAACATTGATTCGGACATCATTGCATGACTTCGTGCTGAACGCTGTAATTCTTCATATTTCGCCGCTAATATCCTGAAAATAAATCTTATTACACACTAACAGATGCTTTGGATATTCGCAATCTGGTGCCAATGAATTTTTTAATGGACCTTAATTAGTAAATGAGTAATCTTAATTTCGTTATAATAGCTGTAGCATGCCATAACACGCCTCAATTGTTCCACCACACTAATTGAGACGAATGAAACAACACGACGCATTTAGGTGACATTATTGAGTACTGCTGCAAAGAGGAGCAAAATTCAAATGAGATCTAATCAACTCACTTTTCTGTGTTAACTTTCTGATCAACAAGCAGTTTCAGCTCATAAACGCGGTGTTTCAATTTGCTGATTTCAATATCTTTTGATGGTATCTCTTCGGCTTTAAGTTGTAGTTTGGCATTGATGTGTCGCAATTGCTTCATCTCACTCGATTTCATCTCAAGCGCCGCATTCAAACTGCTGATCTCCTTCGATAACCCCTATAATCATCACCCGAACGAAATCGTTTGAATATTTCAGTCGTTCAAAATGAGAGCAGGTTTGATCAATGTCGTAACAACTCAAATGAATAAGTTTAAGTGACCAACAAAATGTATCGATGAAAAGTATTGTAATTAATGAGCAAAACTCACAACAACTTTTTGATTCGTATCCTTACTAAGTGTAGCCTCAAGTGCTTTTTTATCGCGGATCAACTGCTCAGATTGCTTTTCGGCTTCACACAATTTACTATCCATCGTCGCAATCTGAATTTGATGCGTTCTACTCAAACGTTCAACCTCGAGATCATGCGCACACTTTTGATCGTCCAACGCATGACGCATCCCTTCTTTGATTTCGTTTAACTGAAATTTTTTGCCGTCATATTGGTCAGTTTCATCCGCTCATCAGTGTATTCATAGTTTTATCCATATTCAGAACTCTCGGTGACATTCCACTAATCGTTTGGAATGTGAATGCTCTTATATAAAAAACGATGTACTGATATGACTGCAATCCTTTTACAGGAAGAACAAAACGCTCATTGAAATGCTTGTTAACCGCAATTAACGACGTAACACAGAAATAATCGAAGTTCAGACAAGTCCACGGAAGATTGTTAGCATACAATTGGGGAACCTACTGGTAATAAGCATCCGTTATTGGATTTAAATTCTGGTCATTCATTGCTGTATTCTTTGGTCTTTGGTGAATATACACTCATTAAAAACATTTCAATGATTTGGACGCTTGTGAATTGTAGTGGAAAATAAAGTACAATGATACGTGAGATTAGGTTGAACATTCGGTTTCATTTACCAACGCGAATCAAAGCACTGAATCGAAAGATTTCAACCGATGATAGGACCGTCG